TACCATCGAAATCGCAAGCAACAGCAAGCGACCTACATAATATCGGACACAAACAAAATAAACAACGCAATGTTTACAGCAAACATAATCATGATTTTACTCGAATACTGCTGACACATGTGATGATACATCAATTAACTAAACCGAGGGTTTATATGTGCTTTTTATATGTTTTTCAATGCACAACCTCCGTCTTTCACGACGTCCCTCGGTAAGTCACGGCCCTCGATAAGTCGCGGTTTTTGCTTGGATTCCGACAACCACGACTTAGCAAGAGGCCACTGTACTTTTATATGATTCGTATGAGGAAATATGATATTTGTTTTTATTCGGTTTTCTTGATTTCAGTCAGAATTGGATGAACGGTTACTATGTGAAAAGTAAATTTTTCAATTGTTTCACCATTAATGTGACAAAAAAATCTCATGTAACCTGAATTAAATATTACTCATTACTAATATTACTCACTGGGGATAATTTTTTCTCAAATGCAGCTTCAAATAAAATATCAGTGATGTGAAGCACTATTTGCCAGTTACTTCAACATTTTTTTTGATATCAGGTGATTCAGAAAACACATACTTTGTCATTGTCTGCAGTTGTTAATAAAAAGTGTATTTTGATAATTATTTAACAGATTATCTAATGAACTAGCTTTTTAAACATTGAAAAATGCTCAACTGCTAAATATTAGAATCTCACCCAAAGCATATACAAACTCATATATACTTTCTAAATGGGGGTGTTTACTATTGTAATTCAAAGGGAATGGTTCTGTCAGGAGGATAGCTTGGAGATGTTCACTTGAATTGAAAAAAAGTTGTTCTAAGAAATAAAAATCAGCTGTTACACGGTAATCTGTCCAAAATGTACATCAAAGAGACTGAAAAACTGTTTACAGAAGTAATGTGTACAGTGGAGCTGGTCTAAACAAAATCAAAACAAACAAAAACAAAATTATTATTACTTTTGACAACTTTGATGTATAGCAGTTGTGGTGGCTAATTTTGTATAATACCACGTCTGCCTGGTGCGACAATTGATGCCCTTTACAGTTTTATCGAAGAATTCCTAATAAGAAATAGTTTTTGGCTGTGTTGTAATTAATATGCATAAGATACATAAGATTTATCTGATCTATATGATGTTCTTAAACTTTTATTTTGTTTGAAATTGATGCTTTTCCTCCTGGCATGTTAGTATAGTAAGAATAATCTAGAATAAATAACTCATATTTAATATTCACATGGAAAGACATCATTTTATGGGAATTTTTTTCACTTGGTTTTTTGTTCCTAAATAAGTGTGTTGTGAATCTAGATTTACTAGCACGAGATCAGTACAGCATCTTCAATGATGCATTGTATCAAACAGGATTGCCAGTCAGATCTTGTATCCTAAGTACAGATTAAGAAACATTATTCTATAGAAATGCAGTCAAAATGTGGTTAAATTTCAGCTCCATGGTCGTTTTCGGCATGAAATTATTTAAATATGATTTCCTTGATTTGAATTTGTGACTTTTTTCTTCATTCTTTGGTTTACTTATCATGAAACACTTGTGTAGGAACAGAATCACCTGAGAATTTGTTGTGTACCTCTTTCATTTAATTTTTGCCTTCTATTTCTATAGAGACAGAAAGTGATGGTGTCACAACTATGGCAGCAATGGGTCATAACCAGAGTGGTTCTCTTAATGCAGATAAGGTAGGTTTTATTAAAGTCATTGCTTTGGGGTGCAGACATGGGTATTCATCGGGATGGTTTGTCTAAACTTAAACACAGTGATTACTGCCAGTGCTCTGTGGCAAGGGCGGTACTATTGTGACAAAAACTTACTGAGCAGAAGCTGAATGCACTGTACAAATAAATCATGAAAATGAAAACACCTGTTGGTTTGCAGTTTTGTTGGCTGCCTGTAATAAAATGAAGCAAAAGTCATAATGGCAAAATGTCTGGTGTCTGCAATAAAACCATGCCCATTCACTCTGCCTGCTTAGACCTCCTATTTGAGATGGTTCTAGTATTTCTCACTATTTTTGTAACAAAAGAAACAGTTTTATATTCAGAAGAGTAAAAGGAAAACCCTGTAAGCGCTGACGTCAGGTAACCAAGGGAAATAGAACAAAGAATGAGATCTTGATTGACCAATCAGAATGCCGGAACCGTTATTAGTTACCGACCTCTTGTGGCTTGGTGTGCCATGACACTTGAGATGAGAACCAGCCAATGGCGAAATAAGTGAAAAAGAAAGATCAGTTTGTATTTTCTATAGTGGTATGGGATGCACACTGACCAGAAACATATATATTTTTTCTGCCTAACCTTGTATTTGTAAAATTTGTATTCATGATTCACTTTCTCTGCAGGCATCAGAGAAACAACGACTTGATAATGCTAAAGAAGAATTCCTTGATGCTCAGGTTAGAACTACATACCTTATACATGGGTTATGAATTAAAATATAGATAGCATAATTCTCAAATAAAGTGTCGGGGGGGGGGAAAAATTACCGATATAGCATGTTATACTGATATTGGTTGCTTCTGACAAAAAGAATATAATGCATCTTCATGTGAGAAGATGTATGAGTTATCCCTTATTTCAACTGGTGTGTTTGTTTCTGCACCTATACCTTGACAGTTTAGGGGCTATTGTAATCAATCTCCTACTCCTGCTTTATAAGATTGTAGTGGTTTGCTCTGATTTTTACAATTTATTTTCTTTAAAGGTATACACATTTTAAATAAAAACATACTGTAAAATGACTAATATTCACTGGGTTTAAATTTCACTGATTTACCATTTCAGGCATATTCAGTAGGTTTTAAATTCACGGTTTTATCATTCAGATAATGTGTTCTATGCTAAATTTTACATATTCACTGGGTTTTAATTTAGCGCATTTTCCAGTCAGCGAAATAAGCAAAATTAAAACCCAGTGAATAATTAAGCCTTTTACAGTATATTTTTTAATATTCAACTTGTAGACCAAATTGAATTATGATTTATCATAAATTAAAAATGGTGCATTTGCAGGACACATAACAGTATAAATTTTTGTTGGATAAATAAAACAATAATAATGTCGGAAAATCTGTGTAGTTTTTGTATTATCTCAAATGCTGCCACCATCAAACTCTTACCGCATATTGTTCATGGCTGGTATTAGTAGATGGATTACGTAACATCCTGTGTGTAGATAGTTTTAATGCCTCCTTCCTGTCTGACTTTATATTTAGTATTAGTAGTAGTTGTTTACTTCAACTGTATAAACAACACATGTTAATTATCTCTGTATTACCATAGAACTTAGAAAAAGATCTTTCTAAGGTCTATGGTATTACTGAGAAATAAACCAGTTCTTCTTTAGGTTTGAAACAGTCAACATCGCCTCCGTTTACTCTCTCGCACACACATACGTCAAACCTTTTTTCCACAAATAATGATTGCAGTGTTTGTTATTGTACATACCAAAACAACCAGTGCACATGTATGCGAAGAATTAAATTGTTTCATCAATGTGTGCTACAAGAACATTGTTTTGTCATGATAAATGTTTTCATCAACAATACTAAAATATTTTTTTCATTATTATTACATCTTTGATTGTTTGCAGCTTTAAATGATTATGAGGCTAAATTAATTTGATTGAATAGATAAATTATTGATTGATTGATTCCCTTGTTGAGATATTGATTGATCATTGTGATTCATTTCTCTCGCAGTTGAAATATCAACGAGAAATAGAGAGATTAGAAAGAGAAAATAAGCAACTAAGGAAGACTTTATTAATACGGGGCGACAAGACAGCTGTGAGGAGAAAGGTCAAAGTAAGTACATGTAATTGATTGGAAAATTAATTTTCTGTTGGATCTACATGTACATGTATGTAGGGTTTTTCATAATTAGAAAAATAGAATGAAATGAATAACACAAATCAAAGCACATATATTATTATGAGAGACCGCACAAAGGTAGTATGGTGCATACCGGTATCTCATACTATCTGAGTGCATACTTATGGTATTCTGTGATAACCTTATTAATATGAGGTAATTATAAGGATACCTCAAAGTATGCACGAAGACAGTACAGCAGAAGTATCGCCCGATGTGCAGCAGAGGTCGATGTGATGTCGTACTGCCTGAATGATGTACATTTTTTTTTAAATATTTTTTTTAATATTGCTTCTTTGACATGCCTGGACCAGTCAAGTTCAAACATCACGCATATATCAGACATCATATAGGACAAACACACATGCATTTTTGTCACCATCAAATTTAAAATGACTGACTGATGGCCATCTTGTTAAAATAATTACAGTTTCACAGAGCCATATCTCATATATGTTTGTCAACATTATGAGTATACCCTTGGTATTCATGTAATTTCTCATGCCTTGACAATGACTTGATTTTTTTATGGAATGCTCATTTATATTGATTTTATTGCCAGATGTATAATAATACTTCTATATTCTAAACATCTAGTGTAAATCATTTTGATAATCATCTGGGGTAGGGTGTCAATGCCCAGATGCATAATATAAGAACAACTCAAAATCTGAATGACTGACTTCATCATTTGTTTTGGATTGTGTTCGCTAATGTTGTGGTGGACATCTTGTTTGCAGAAATCTCTCATTGACATGTATTCAGAAGTTTTAGATGAATTATCTGATTTTGATAGCAGTTATGATACACAGGATCACCTTCCAAGGGTAAGTCAATCAACTTATTCATAATTGTTTTGAGAAACCCCCCCCCAAAAACAATGTGATTTTAGTCATTAATTTTTTAAAATCATTCATTACTCCAACAACAAGGGTGATCTTTGTTGATGAATATTTATCATTTATTAAATACATTCATTAATGAAGTAACGTATCTCTCTATTTACTGTTTAACAGGGTGTTAGCCAGCCACCAGTCAACCCACCAAACAGACTGGCAACTTTGATTTTGGACAGGCAACTTTTTCCCATTTTTCTGTTTTTTCTTTTGTTCTTTGATAATTTTACCAAAATATATCCAAAACCATCTCCATTTTCATGAAGTTGAATTGTTTTGGACTGGCAGTTGCAAATTTCTGGCTAATAGCCTGCTGTTTAATAACAATTTCTGCATTCCGCTGTATGTGGTGTACATCCTTGATGTGCAAAATTGCAACAACAAAAAGTGTGTGATGCACAGGTGTGCAATGAATTATGCTGAGAAACAATGTTTTCAGTCAATTTGTTAAACAAAATCGATGTATGTGCACACTTTTTAGCTTCGCTGTCGACTTTGTCGAACGGAGCTTATCATATGAGTGATTGTCCCTCGGCGTCCGGCGTCCGTCTTCCGTGTCAATGTTTTACAGTACTTTTTCGACTTCTTCTTGAAAACTACAAGCCTGAAT